TTAAAAAAATTTTCGTAAGTCAATACATTTTCTGTAAGACCAAAACTCTTCATGATCTGTACACTCAAAAATAACTTGGAATAAACTGATAATCAGTATTGTACAGATAAAAGCAGGTATAGTATAAATTCAATTAAGAAACCTTTCAATTTGGGACAGTTTTTTGAAAAACGCAAGGCATTATGGGGATGTGAAAATGCTACCGTGAAAATCTATAATGAAGGAAGTTTTAAAAGCACTAGCTTAAAGGCGTCTCAACCATATTTTTCGTCTTTGCAACATTGAACCATCAGTACTTTCTTTTCCTTCATCTKTATTTTATAGGCATCAAATACATGTATAATAACACTTTGTATGTAATACCGTTTTCAGAACTATATACAACTTGAAGACGGCTTAAACTATGAYACAATTAAATGTGAATCGCAAAACGTGATTTTTTCTCCTTTTGATTCATCTAATAATCCCCAAAGATCTCAGGCAACGATGCCATGAATAATTGAAATGTACTTTTTYTGAGTGCGTAACAGGATCGACTCTGAAACATCATGTGAGTGGGAAATGTATGTTACTGACTAACATGGCTTCCCATAATAAATGAAATTAAACCTGACACCTTCTGGACCTTTCCTGGTGCCCACTTCATATAGGTTTGTTTTACAGTAAATACAGTGGTACTTCTATTAAGTGGACACCTTCAGGACCTTTCCTGGTGCCCACTTCACATAGGTTTGTTTTACAGTAAATACAGTGGCACAGCAAGCAAGTGTTTTATTTCTCTCATAAGATACAATTTTTCAACAACCGCTATTTTAGATAGGAATGATACAACTGAAACTGTGTGCATGTGCCRTGTACTCTTATAAAGCACATGCTCCCAACCAATCAGATTGCAAGATAACAGTTATAATGGCTCGTAAGGAGAATAGAATATTTCTACAACATGTTTCTTTACAAGTTTAAATTTGAACATTGTACTTACCTACCTGACATTATCTTTTTTGAGTTCTTTATTCAGTTGGTTAAGAGTGTCATTCTTGTCTGCTAATTGCTTTTTTTCTTGTTTTACTTTCTCCAATTC